ATTCAATATTGTTGACTCTTGATTTTCATTTACCGATAGAACTTTTCTGTAGTCGTTGGCTCCAATAGGCTCTGTATGCTGGGCTTACCTTCCAGGGGTTCGCTTATTGTATATACCTCAGGACTCCAATCCTTGGTGGCCTCAACGACTTTATTATAGTTCTGTTTGTCACAGAATATTAACTGTGGCTTGGTTATCCCAAACATGAACTTGATAGTGTCTGTTCAGGAACATAATTGATTATAAGTCGAGGATTGACATTTGCAGACTCACCTTCGTCCAATATCGGATTGATAGCGTGGAATGGTGTGGCATTAAATAAACATGCCACGCCCAATGGCATGACATAGGTGGTATTCGCAGCTACAATTCCAATGACGCTCGTGTGGTCTAGTCCTCGCTTCTTGAAGAACTGAGCTATGCGAATGGCCCACGTGAGGGCCTGCTCAAATGTAACAGTCACCCCATCAATATCTGATATCTGTGAAATAATTTGTACAATAATATGATCCTGTTTTAGTAAAGGACTTCTGTATGTTACCTGGCACACGTTCTTTGGCCAGTTCTTCATGTTATTGAAAATGATGCGTCCAGCAGAAGTATCAGATTTATAAATGGATTTGCGAGGAGATCCACTCCATGTTTTATCTATGCTATTCCAGCGGCTTTCCATTGTTACTGAGGGACTTCTGTATTCTTCGAACTGTCTGAAGCGACTAAGTTTCGCTGTGATTTATTCTTATCTTATATATATTAGTTTTATGGACAAACCCTAGGGCGCTTTATCTTTTAATATCCCCAAATTTAAAATTTGGCTTATCAGCTAAAATAGAATGCTCATTAATGATTATATTATATTATTTTATAATTCTTACTGATTAATATTTATATATATTCTATATAAATATTAATTAATAATAGTAATTATGAACACGTTGGCTTGCAAGTTCCTCAGTTGAGTTCATTTAAGTCTACGCTTATTGACTTTTGTTTTAATCTGTTCTTTGATCTTAATATAGGTAAATTCATCTTGCTTAATTGAAGTTCAAGTATTGCTTATACTGAGTAATTAGCTTGGAATCCTTTTTAAACAGATTGAATTTTCGAGATCAGAAAAAGGAATCCCAATAAAATGATTTCCGAAGCAATATTTTTTCTGAAATAACTCAATTGAATACTATTAGCTTTTCGAATTTCTTGATAATTGATTTTCGTATATAATAAACTTTTCAGTGTGTTATATTAATTATTAATCTTTCACAGCTGCCAAAGATTATGCAGTATTTAACTACCTTTTATAGTCTGGGAACAGTTAAAATTATGTAGCATACTTACAAAGAAGCTAGTAACTTATGTTAACTAACATTTGCTCACTCTGCCAATCATATCATATCAGTCTGATGGTTTATTAAAGAACTAGAACTAGATATCGAAATTGAAAGAAGTTTATCTTGCTTGTACTCAGCTAATTTCTTTGACTGACTGATGGCAAATAGACCTTAATGCTAAGAGATTTCGGCTCTGGCATCGCTGTTAGTTTTGCAATCTATCCCCAATCAGCGCACTGATTGTCAGCTGTCAGCCGAACCTTTTTGGGAATTTGCATAGGCTACAAGCGGGTTTTCAAATGAATTCCCCAACTCGCTTGGTCATCCTTCGACTTTGACAATAATTTGCGTGCATAATTTATGCCATTCGAATGGCTTAAATTGCAGAGTCATTTATTTGATTTTATTATTGTTGCCAATATTGGCCAAAGTGGCATCAGTAAATTATTTCATTTACACTTCACAACGTCCACAGGCCTAAACGAGTGAAAAGCAATCAAAAATTATGAAATGTCATTTCAATTGCCAGCTCATTTTTGTTAATTTATTTATTTTTGGGTTTTTATTTTTACAACCATTTTCATTACACTGTGAATAAATGCAAATTTCGAGAACATTATGTAGAGCAGTAAACTCACAGTGTTAATATACATTAATTTATGCGCTTATATATATATATTTGCAGACGCACAGTGCATAGCATATTGATATATACAGAATAATTCATTCAGCTTAAAAACGAATTTTAATTTAAATCTTGAAATTGTTTATCATTTGTTTTCAGCTAAGAGACTTGATAATAATTTTGTTTAATTTAATTTATTTTTGATTGCCTAATATATATTCTAATGTCTCGCATTGTGCGTGACAGAGTTTCTCCACAGTTGTACGTTGTTGCACTTTTTGCAATTATTAATATATATTGCGCATACGCCATGTGTGACGACTTTAATTAGCTTTACACACCTTCGCACCGCTCTGGCTCTCTCCGCAGCTAAGGTCAATGTGCACACCTATTAGGCGTGTCTGTGTGTGTGTGCATATGGTGTATATGGGTCAAGCAGCGCTAGCTCTGTGCTTTGCGTACGCGCACTTGGATAAAAAATGATGTGTGCGTGCGCCAGTTGAACAGCCCAGCAGAGGTGGCAGTGGGACCAGGTCAGGTCTTAAAGCTGCTGTTGCACGGCCTTTGTTGCTTTTGCTGCTGCTGCTGCTGCTGCTGCTGCTGCTGTTATATGTGTGGCATATTGTCGACGTCGCCGTTGACGTCAAGCCGCACTCATCCTAGAAAGGCGAGCAGAAGGCGCAAAAAAGAAACTAAAATGTTGGCCTAGCGACTGCGTGCGAGGCAAGTGGCGCCAGTTTGTATTGTCATCCTTTTGCCCGTTCGCTTTTTGTCTTCTCTGAGCGCTTTGCTTTGCCATTTTTTGTTGCTGGAGCAGAAGCCAGAGCCGGAGCCGGAGCCTGAGCCTGTCATGTATCTCTCTCACTGTTGCTGTACCTAGCTCTGTCTCTGTCCCAATGTCCCAGTGTCTGAGTGTCCTTGTGTCTGTGTGCGCCGGAGCGCTTTTTCTTTTTTTTTTCTATTATTGTCTCACTTACAAGTGTACCCGATGTATTATGCATATCCTGTAACACTCCACTTTTGTTGTGCATTAGTCAAATGTGCGACAGTTGGAAAAAGGAGACGCCAGCAGCAGCAGCAGCAGCAGCTAGGGGGGCGTACACTGTGGGAAATGGGCATGGAAATGGAGCACATTTAGTCACACAATTGGCTTTGCATGGCCAATGGGGCAGGCGCTGGGCAAAACGTTGCCAACGAGCTAAATATTGTTGTCAGCCCTTTTTGTTTTTGTGTGTGAGTGTGTTTTTTGTTTTTCTTTTTCGCATTCAAGGTAAGCAAATGAAGAAATTAAAGCGACGAATTAATAAGCACTTTATCCATTTCCTGCTATGCCTTTAATTGGCCTCCTGCGATGGCTTTGTGCGTCTTAGTCTCTCTGGAGCTTTGTTTATATTAATATGCTTCCATAAGCCGCTGCAAATGTCTTGTGCCTCCCGACACAATCGCCAACGTCCCCGCGGTAGGGCAATTATCAGGGCGAAGGCGTCGACGTCGACGACGACAACGTCGGCCTCACGGCAATGCCATAAAAGTACCACTTAAACTGTTTTAGTTTTTGTGTTGTTGTTTTGTGCGTCCCTTTGAAGTTGCAGGTGGCAGCCAGCGGAGTTCCATGCCCGCTAATCCATCCATAGCAATGACACTGGACTACAGGATTTCTCTGTTTGGAGAGCAACAAAGTTTTTGGGCAAATGAGTCAACTAAGTAAGCAATTTAATTCTGTTAACTTTTTCAGAATTTTCAGGATATTTTTTACTGCAGGGAAAGAACTTTAATTGTTAAATAATTTAAAATTTTTTTATTTATATCCACAATATTAAGCGAATAAAAAATAGACATTTTATTGATAATTCAATACTTTATTCAGCATTAAATTAACAAATATACATTTCATAGAAATTTCTTTTATCTGAAGTTCACAGTTGATGCTCAGAGTTCAATTCACAGTTTCCATAAATATTTTATATTTACGTAATTTTATTAAAATATGTTCCATTGATAAACATATTATCTATCTATATCTCCTGCTCAAGACTTTATAATTTAATTATTTTTACGAAGCTGAATTAAAACATACTTTTAATTCAAATATTTGCACTGTGGAAATGTTCTTTTTTTTCTGATTTCTCTTTCCATGCAAGAAATCAGAAAAGTTGGCATATTTTGTTTAGGTTGCCAATCGTTAAATCAGCTTCGGGTCTATTTAATAGCCCCATATAAAATTGAGTTAATTAGGCTAATTAAAGCTAACATACACATACATATACAAATAGTCTGTGATTACGTCCAGCGACAGCAGCAGTTCCACACTTGACCACATATCGATCGACCAAAGATATGCATCTAATCTAAATGAGCACAAGTTTGACAGCCCTAAAAAGTGGGCAACACTTTATTGGCATGTGCTTAAGTATGCGTAATTGCATATGCATTTTACATTGATTTCCATTTGCTGTAGTGGCCAGCAAATGGACAATTATTCAGTGGACTTTGTCAACTTTGGTCAGTTTGTAGGCGAGTGTGTGGTCTAGCCATAACTGTAAATTGTCAGGCACAACAGGCTCTGTGTGCGTGTGTGTGTCTCTGTGTGTGTGTTTGTTGGCAGTTGCTTAGCTGTTTAGTTGCTTGGCTATTTGCCGCTGGTCGCTAGTCCAAATGCGAGACGTGTTTAATTGCTCGATTAGCGCACAGTTTGCTGGGCAGTCTGGCCGAGCAACGCCCACGCGACCCCATATTCCGCCTCGGGGCGGCTTGTTGCACAATGAGTGGCGGCCCGTCGGTGGCGTCACCAAATTCCCCAAGCCATAATCTTGAACTTCGGCTGAGAGTTGAGCTGTGTTTGGTTTGGTTTGGTTTGGCATCGCTTGGCTCGGGATCAAAAGGCTGCGGGGTGACGACAAGGGCGAGGTTAGATCTGGTTTTCAATTTCATTTTCGCTCGAGCAACACTTAAAAACAGTCGCTGAATTAAATTATTCAAAATGTCAAACAATTATTCAAACGCCAACGGAACTGTAACTCTCAGCTTTATGCAAGTGGGGCGACTGCTGGCTAAAAGGGGCAGTTGGCAGAGGGGCAGATGCTGAATGGGGGCAGCTGTGATGATTCTGGCCCCCGGGGGCACCTGCTCTGCAGTTCCTGTTGCCGCCGCATAGAAGGCAAGTTATGATTTAAAAAGATATTAGTCCTGTTCACAGTCGCTCTTGTTGGCTTTGTGCTTTATGCAAAGCAGCGAGAATATATAAATATATACGTACAGGGAGAGTGAGGGAGAGAGGGAGGGAAGAGAGAGGGAACAGAGGGGGACAGCACATTGTTGGGAAATTTAATTATATCTAAAGTTGAGAGGGCAGCTTTATTGCTGATTCTACGCATAAACTTTTATTAACTGTGTGCGCTCGTATTTTGCAATTTTCACAACATTTTTTCCTTGCGTTTTTAATGTTTCTTTTTTCTTTCCATTTCATTCTTTTTTGTTTGAAGCCAGATGGAGGAAAACGGCAGCAGCATTGATATTTAAATGGCTCACAGAAGCTTCAGAACGCAACGTTTAAGGAAGCTACAAAAAAAATAATGAAATTTGCCAACGCTTGGCTGTTTGTTCAGCTTGTTTCTATCAATCAAAGGCTTAGGGCAACCACACTCAAATACTAAGTACACACACACACATACATAGAGAGATAGAGCGCAGGCAAATGTGCGTAATGTCAACGCGCAAAATGTAATGGCAATGCGGTTTTTCTTTTCATTTGCCGCCA